CATATTCCCCATCGTTACCGGGTAAAACATTCGGGAAGAGAAATCGATTTCGTACTCGAGAGAAAGATGAGATGGATCTCTTAGAGAGTGATGTGACATCTTCTAAAACGAAGTGAACTATGCTGAGAGAAAGACATGACGTGCCAATAGTAGAAAGCTTTATATGAGGTCTCTTTTTCAACCTGAACAAAAACCTCGATGGCCATAAGTACTAAATAAAAAGAACAATAGCTGCACGCACTACTCATTACGCCATAAGTCCCTTCTTTTTCAGTCTGAATGAGTTAGTCGTTCATAAATTCTTTTGATCTAAAACTTTTATATTCGATTCATTTCAAGACGATAAGCAAAGTTATAAAGTGGCATACTTGGAAGCCGTATTTTGCTGATCCTCCTCCACGTAGCTTTAAAGGCAAGTCTATATTCTCCATCAAATGTTGTTGACCTCTGAAGAAGAATAAAAAAACTGTTAATTACACGTCTTGCACTAACTCAATAAATTTCAATCTAAATAGCACAAAATCCATAGAAAGAAACACTCAAAGTCTTTAATAAATTGAGACAATCTTGTACAATAGTAAGCTACAAACCAATATGAATCAAACACTATATGGGAAATGGAGTGAACGTTTGCCAGCAAGTAATGTATTTCAAGATTGATAGAAGAATACGACTGCAATAGTTAAAGGAGTTATGGTTTATGGTTTGCGTGGATATCAGGCTTGATCCCTGCATTGTGATTTAGATCACACTTTATCATCAATTTCTAACTTGGGATTATGGTTTATCGTCTCGACCAAAAATACTTTGAACTAAATCATGGACTCATACAGGAATCAATAAGAACATAATACCTCTCATAAGCAGTGGTAATATACAAATGCGATGAATCAAGATGACCTTGTTTGTGTAGACAATGAAGTAGGGAGGTAAAAAATAAGCCATAAGAAGGACATTTACAAATACTTTTTGAGGAAATGTAGACGAACCTTCACCATTTGATGCATATGTTGGTTTGTTGGCATGTGGACATGAATTGATGAGGATTAAATTTAAGATGCTGATCATATTCATCTGCAGCAAAGACAATCTCCACCTCTCTTTTTTTTTTTGGTTTCTTGAGTTCTCTTGTGATCTTTTTCTATATTTATTCTCTGCCATATCCATCGCCGGCCTCATTCTTCTACGGTCAACCTCAGTTGTAAATTTTATGTCATCATGTATTAGGCTAGACCGTATCTGCAACAATTAAAGCTGAGATGGTTAGTATGTCAACTCGAAATATTGAAAAATTATTACAGATAACTAAGCATATAAACCTGGATGAAAACAAACATGTTTTGTATTCAACCATTTGCAAGTT